GTAGCCGGCCCACACACAAATCCGACACGGCCCTAGAGCAGCCCCGCACTGAGTCCCAGCCGTGCGCGTCGCCCCCCGCCCGCGCTGCCACCGGCCCCCACCACCAATCCCGCGATGCTGACGTCGGTCGGATTGAAGCTGCGGCGAAGCCGTCAGCGGCGCGCGCCCCGCCCCCGCGTCTCCAGGGCAACCGTGGCTTTCGATTGTTACTGTGGGAACCGGAGGTAACAGTCTACAGCCATGGTCGCCCCGCAGCACGCCCACGCGCCGCGCCACGCTACGCACAGCCAGTCCGGGACTGGGGAGACCAGCAGCAAAAAGAAGCGGGGGCGGCGAGTCAAGCTCTGATATGTGTGCGGGGGCGGCGGGAGGTGTGGTTGAGGGATCTGGGCTGCTGCGGGGAATCTGACTGCATCGAGCCCACCGAGGGGAGAAAAGTGTGGCTAATGTCTGACCATCTCCTTTAGTGACTATCCTGTCCTCCTAGTCGAGGTATTGCAACTAAGGGATGGCTTAGGAAAAGGGTAAATGCTGGGATTTGGTTCTTATTTCTTTGGTGGGAGTGAGCTGCTGGAATTTGGAAGCATGGGGAAAATTGATACCCTGAGACTGAAGTAGGTAATTAGGAGAGTTGTTTGTTTAATATGCCACACCTCATTCTTTCAGGTACTCCTAGTCCAGTAGGCAACAGGCAAGGAGAACCCATTTCCTTGAACCCATTTGAACCTTTGAACTCATTTCTGATGAAGCCCCAGGCTCACCTCACTCCTCTTACTTTGGCTTTCTGGGCCATATAGGATGAGAAGGGTCTCTAACTCTCATAAGGCTGATGGATTTGTGAAGTTAGCCTGCTCCCAGAGAGTTGTCTGCATTTATCAACATCCTAAATACAGTCTACCTCTAACGGCTAGATTCCAATTTGAGACTGTCTCAACTTAGCCCTAAAAAGGAGTATCAAAACTCACTGAAGTCTTGATGTGCCAATGAAGTGCAGACCTAATCCCTTCAAAAATAGTCTGTTAGGGCCCTCCCTGGTGGCTCAAAGGGTTGAAGCTAGCTGAGGCCACTTTAGTGCTAGTTCGATCCCCACATGGCATGGCAGACCTCTCCTGACCAGCCTACTGCTCTCCTCAGCAGTGTAGTTCCTCAATAAGCCTGTTCTGTTCCCCACTTTTGTCTCTGGTGAATCCTCTCACCCCCTGCACCTCTGGCCTGTACCCCAGTTCTATATGCATAAATAAATCTTAAAAAAAAAAGTTTCTCAACTGCCAGCAGGGACTGTTCAATATTGGCTGTGTCATTTCCATAGGGATAGTGTTGAAAATGATTAATGCAACCCAGTCCTGCCCATTGATCTAAATTTACTTTAACCCTCCATACCCCCTCCTTTTCTAAACTACTTTAAGTGGTGCTGATTTTTTTTTTAAAAATTTTTTTTTATTCATACAGAACTGGGGTACAGGCCAGAGATGCAGAGGGTGAGAGGATTCACCAGAGACAGAATGGGGAGCAGAACAGGCAGATCAACGAAGTACACTGCTGAGGGGAGCAGCGGGCAGGTCAGGAGAGGTCTGCCACGCCATGTGATCACCTCCGGGGCAGGCGGGGATCGAACTCATGCAGAAATGGCTTTAGTTTCTCAGTGCAGTGCTTTAACCCGCTGCGCCACCAGGGAGGGCCAAGTGGTGCTGATTTTACAGCAAATCAGCATCCACATGCTGCCTCCCTCCCACCCAGGGACTCTGAGGTCTTAGATTAAGATGTACTTGATTCTGGAATCCAGTGGATATCCATGGGTGGATTTTTTAAGAGTTATTATTTCTGTAGAAGAATTGGGGTATAGACTAGAGGTGTGGGGGTTGAGAGGATTCACCAGAGTGGAGAGCAGAACAGTCAATCTATTGAAATATAGGAGGGAACAAGACAGGAGGGAACTGCTGTGCCATATGTGGGTCACCTCCTTGGCCAGGAATGGAACTCAGGGGGTAGTGGTGCAGCTGAGACCTAACCCCTAGGCCACCAAGGAGATTCCTGGATTGTAGTTTATGCACACGGGAGGTCCAGTCTGGCTTCATCATCAACATTATTAAATGAAACAATTCCTCCTTTTTGGCAGATCTATTTTGAGGATCAAGTTAGGATAAAGTAAGTAAAAGGTTTTTTGTTTTTTTTTTTTTTTTAAATCCAGGATGCTACTTTGACCTTAAGTGTTCTCTTTAGGCTCCTATTTGTGAGTGGTGGTGGTGTTGGGAGAACCAGATTCTGGGCACTTAGGCAGGCAGAATGAACAGTGGAGGGAGTATCTCTCTCTATGCACAAGTTCTGGGCCGAGGCTGTTGTGTTGCTACGGGTGCCCTCCCATGAGCTTTAGAATCTAAAGTGAAGCAAGAGATAAAGAATAGTAGGGATAGGCTACAAAACAGTCTTTTGCAGTTTGAACCTATGTGGGGAAGGTACAAAAAACAGAGGGCTGATTGTGTGATGTCAAGCTTTTCAGTATCTTAATAATTATTTCATGCACTTTACCCCCAATCTATTTTATGGTTTAATAAGGTAAAACCCTGTTTGGACATAAAGCCCAACAGCAGTGCTCATCTCCTACCTTTACAACTTAATAAAGGTCAAAGTGAGCTTTTGTATTTGAATCCAACTTTGGGTAAGTTACTTCACTTCTGCTTGTTCTCTCAATTGTAAAATAAACAGTACTTACTTCATGAAGTAGTGAGATTAAATTAGGCAACTATAAAGTTTCCACTGATCACAAGGTCAGAGCACTCAATTAACAGCATCCCTATCTCTAGCCTTGAGATCTCATTTTCCTTATAAATTGAAAATGTCCCGTCAATGAATCTGAGCCGGAGTTTACTCCTCCCTAGCCTAGTGAAGTATATGAAAATTGCATGGTCTTTTTTTTTTTTCCATTCAACAGATTTATATTCTATTCTCTAAAGCAGTGACTTTAACATACTGTGTTGCATGCAAGTGACAGTATGGCATGTCAAAATGCAGAATCCTAGTGATTGACTCAGGTCTGAGTCACAGAATCTGAGTTGGGGTGGTTAAAGGGCCGAACTCCCAAAGATCTATTCTTTCTGGCGGGCATGAGAGTTGGCTTATCTGTTATTGAGAACCAGTAGACCACATGATTTATTTCCTCTTAGCTTGTAAATTTTGGGGTTCCCAGGGAGTCTTCACCTTTACCCAAGCAGGAGCACTTCTGCTCCATCCAGTACTGCTCTGCTCTATCCTCTGATTTAAATCATCTTAAAAATTTACCCCGCAATGTCTCCTTCTCTCTCTTAATCCTCAAATAACCCCAGATATGTAAGTTATTGTTATCTCTTGGGACCTTTCTAAAGGGGCAGCCTGTGTTTGCTGAGGGCAGATGAGCCTTAAGCAGCAGATCCACTGCTGTTCAATTTTTTTTTTAAGACTTATTTATCTATGCATACAAGAACTGGGGCGCAGACCAGAGGTGCAGGGCTGAGAGGATTCACCATAGTGGGGAGCAGAACAGGCAGACTGAAACACACTGCAGAGAGGAGCAGCAGGTGGGAAGAGGCTTGCTGCACCCTGTGGGTCAGCACCTGCGGAGTGGCTGCAGATAGCTTCATAGTGCTGTGACTTAACCCCTTGTGCCATTAGGGAGGCCCACTACAGTTCATTCTGAACCGTTTATTTCCATAGAAGCTAGTGATCATTTTTGTGTGAAATTATAAATCAAGTTTACATTTTCTAAAACACTTTTCAAAAACTCCATGGGCGAATTCCAATAGGTCTGTAATTCAATGGAGTAACTCAGTCCATTTCAGTCTCCTACTTTGGCCAAGGGAGCAAAGGAGTTTTCTTTCCAAACTTTTTTTTTAAGATTTATTAATTTGTATAAAAATTGGGGTGTAGGGTAGAGGGTTCACCAGAGTGGGAAGAACAGATGGATCTCCTGATACACACTGCTGAGGGATCTACTGGAATACACTGTTAAGGGGAGCAACAGGTGAGACTGGAGAGGGCTGCTGTGCCACATGGGGGTTAGTTCCCTGGCTGGGGGTGGAACTCAGGACAGTTGTGGTGATGGAGCTGAGGATTAATCCCTAGACCACCAGGGAGGCTCCCAACCCAACTTCTGGCTGGAAAGGTCCTAAACTCAGTACTGGGGATCTGTCTGATGTCAATTCCAGCTTTTTATTTTTTCTTAAATCTTGAAACACTGCTATCTATAGTGAAGAACTCAACTTCAGTTAATTTAAGGGATATCAACCTGATTGTCTCAAAAGATAGGTTGGAATATTTACACTGTACCCCCTAATGCCAACTCCTGCTCAATTACTAAATAGAATGTTGTGAACTTAAAAAAAAAAAAACAAACAAAACCAACAGACTGTAAGCTGTCCTGGAGAAGCAGGGGAGAAGGTAAGGGAGCAGTGTGTGTGTTGAGTGGCGGGGCAATGGAAATGGGGAGGCAGTTAGCTAAAGTGGGCAGTTTTGAAACAAAGTGCCCAAACTAACTTCATTCTCAAACGGAGGCTGCTTAGCCTTGGCTGTAATTACTACAGGGTAGCATAAATCTCAGGAACTTTACCAGTGGGATGCAGTTTGGCAAAGGGTCCCCTCTGTGCTCTTTGGTCTCCATCCAACTCATGGGTCAGAGCGCTAACACAGTTATGGAGGATAAAGTGAATCCAAGAAACCAGGGTTTGACAAAGATCAACAAAGGAAGCCTAAACTCAATAAGACCCAGGCAGAGCCCTGCCAGGTGACCTCTTCCCAAAACTTCCAAGACATGAATTCTTCTCTGATTCAGCAATAGAGGACTCTTTTCCTTTAGCTGGGGACTTCCACCAAAAAGGTGTGAATGTCTATGTGCACAAATACATGAGTTTGCCCTGGGGGCTTTTAAGCAGAAATGCCTCTCTGCTTGGTGCTGCCCAGGAGGCTGTGTGGTTGACCAAGAATCCAGACTTCTGTTATAAAATGGATTTTTCTGTGTCAGGAAACAAATGTTCAAAATCCAAACCACCACTTTATTTTGTGGCGCTCACAGTGGTGCCAACCCTGTATCTCCCATGTCAATCTCCTTTTATCCAGGGATCCACAGGCTTTTTTTTTTCATCAGCTGCTAAGGTCAAAATCCAATAAGACCTCTGATTCTCTTTCGTGAGTGCTGGGCTTATATTATTTCAGTCTTAAGAATTGACATTTGTCTCTTAATGGGTGATGGTGAGGAACACTTAACAGTAGTGGAGATTTCAGGGTAGGGGAGATGGCAGGGATTACAGAGGTCATGTGTTCAACTAGGGGTAGGCAGTAGGAACAGACAATATTTGTTGCTCTTTCACTCAGCGAACTGGTCCAAGAACTTGAGATAGGCCTGGCGTTGGGGTGCTGCTGCAGGAATGAAGTGGCCACCAGAGTGGGTGAGAGTGACAGCTCCAGGGAATCGGCTAGCCAGTTGCATACTCTCCTGAGAGGGGATGACACGGTCAGTGTCCCCAAAAACATGGAGTGAAGGCAGCGACAAGGGGCCCTGCAGGAGGGGTTCCTTGAGGCCAGGGCCCCGTGGACAGAAACCAGATACCAGGATGATAAACCGAGGCAAAGGGAAGCGGGTATCGCCTGCTTGGCCGAGGGCACACACAAGAGCAGCTAGTGCAGCTCCCTGGCTGAAACCGAGGAGTCCATCAAAAGGCCCCAGCTGGTTCAGTGCCTGCGCCACGGTTCCCAGGGCGTCCTCCACACCTCTACATACGGTGGGCTCTTCCAGTGCGGAGAAAACGTCTGCCTCTCCTTCGGAAAACCACCAGCCTCGGGGCTGCTCCTCCGGTGAGTGGGGCCCTGCAGCGATAGGGAGTAGAGGATGGGGTTCAGGGGAAGGGAATCCCGGGGGGAGAGAAATGAGAAGTGAGTGAACGAGGGGAAGAGAGCCGGTGGGGGAAATGGGGTGAGGGAACAGACTGGCAGGGAGGGGACACGGGACAAGGCTCCCGGAGGAAGCCCAGGCGGCAGACTGGGGTCTGAGCGAAAGGCTGGAATGGGAGAAATGACGGGAACGGGCGGAATGGAGGAGGGCGGGGGAGCAGGCACGATAAAGCCTAAGGGTGCGTGTCCAGGGTAGGGCTCGCCTCACCAGAGTCTGGCCCGGCGCCCGCTGCGTCCGGGACCGGGTGTGGGCCGCTGAGGCACACCAGCTCGGCGCGGCCCCGCAGCGCTTTCCTCAGCGCCCCTGTCTTCTCGCGGAAGCCCCGCTCGCTCTGCCGGAAGCCCGCCAAGCACAACACCCGCAGAGGACGCTGCGCGGCCATAACGCCGGGCCACGCGCCACCACGCACCGGAAGCGGCCTTTCCCCGAGCGGAAGTTGAGTCCGCGAGGGGCGGGGCCCAGCGCGGGCACCACCCTGAGGGCGGGCCCCAGAACGAGCGGGCGGCCCTACGAGAACGCGGAGAGTGAGGCGCGCCCATACCTGGCAGCCCCGAGCGACTCAAGGAGCGCCCCGCTCCACCTTCTCGTCTCTGCAGCTGCAACTCTCAACTGCGGCGGCCGGAGAGGGGAACGTGGGCCGCCCCTGCACCTGAGGTGACAGAGTTTGGACAGAGTCCCTCTTCGGCGACGTCCTCCGCACGGCTCTTGTGCACTTCCCGCGGCGGCCGCAGGGCGGCGGCCTCTGCTCGCGTCGTCGGAGGGGTGGCTACCGCCGAGCCCGCGCGCAGGGGGAGCCTCTCCCTCCTTGGAGTCCCTGCTTACCTTCTCCTGCGCCGGCCGGCCCGGGATGTGGGGGGCCCGGGCCCGTCCATAGTTCACCGTCCACGGTCCCAAAGAGCTCCCGGCGTAGAAGTCCATGGGGTAGGGCTCTTGCCATGAAACGTCCCTCAGGGCCACGGCTGCCTGGGGAGGAAAACTGGACAGTAACATCTGCGAACATTTTTCTGCGCAGTACTATTTAATTCAGTCCTCACAAAGGCCCATGAAAATTCTGTGGTCCCCATATTCACAAAGATTAAGGGATTTGCCCAAGGCCACACAGCGTGAAGTGCTTCATATGTAACTGAGTGCTGCTCACCACCCTATTTACTTCAGGCCCGCTCTCCCCCAGGAGTCTTCAAAACTTGGTGTTACCTCATAGGGTGTCAGTAGCGGTTTGGGAAAGGCAGTGCCCCAGTCAATGGACAGGCGTGGACATGCCACCTGCACCCACCTGGGAAGAGAAGATAGGTCAGACTCACGGTGTCCACCTCTCCTGGACAGCACATTGAAGAAAAAGACTACATCCCCAACAAAGGCAACGAATGCTTGATAGCAATTCTAAAGAAATGACTGTCACCTGCCATTTAGAATAACACCGTTTGCTTGTTTTCTCCTGTTTCCTTTACTGACTGAACATTCTGAGAGCAGGGCCTAGGTAATTCCTAATGACAGTATCCCAGAACCAAATTCAGTGCCAGGTACAACGTAGATGTCAACCACCCCTCACACTCATCTCATATAGAACAACGACAATGTTGCCATTGCCTGTGAGCCCCAAAAGCAGACAAAGTAGGCATGACCATAGCCAAGGGTAGCCTACTGGATGAGTACTCTGTAAATATTAAATGTCATGACCATGGAATAAATTTCCATTGATTTCAAACCTTAATATGAATGGGCAGAACCCAGATCCTAACCTTCTTTAGCCAGTCACAGCTAGGTTGATAAGATGGGGGAAACTTACACGTCTACCTCCGGAAGTAGGCTAAGCTTGCTGGGGAAGATCTCAGAGAGCAGCAACCTCACAAAAGGGAGTCCCAAGGCTTGGAGCCGTGATTCCAGGTGCTGTTGGGAAAGGGGGGCAGAGCTGGGCTAAAGCACCCAAGGCTGTATCTGCTATTCTTCCCAGCTGGGTCTTCAAGCAGTCCCCACCCACAGGCCACCCCAGTCCCTCCAACCTCCAGAATCTTAGGGCTTCCCTGGCGGCCCAAAGTGCCCAGGATAAGGCCCCAGAATTTAGCTGAGCGGGCAGTAGCTATGGCTTCTTGGCGATTGGCTTGCATACGCTGATGGTCATACTGCTCTTTGGACAGGACTTTGCTGTATGGGTCATATCTGGAAAAGAAGCAGCTGTCAGGATCACAGTGACAGCCACTTATGGACTCGCTGCACACCCAGCTCAGACTCAGCACTTGGTCTCCTGAATCTTCAGACTCCATGCAGGTAATCAGGGGCAGAGGCATGGGCAGAGCACCTAAATCAGATCCATAACTGGAGCAGGTAAGAGTAGGAGAGCATTTTAGGATTTCACTGTGAATCCAAGGGGATGGATGGGTCCTGGCCAGCAGCAGCTCTGAGTCTGATGCCCAGCTTTAGGACTCAACTGATCAGATCCTTAGGGATGGGGGCTGTTAAGGACCAAGGAATGGAGATCTTTTGTCTCACTGAACTCCTCAATGGCAGGGAATCCCTTCCCCATCTCAGCTGGTCCACCCAGTTCAACCCATACCGGTAAGAGGGAACACTGGGATTGGCGATCATGACAGACTCCAGATGGAAGCGGCCATCTCCAAGATATCTGCAGGGAGTAAAGGGGGCTGTAAGTATAAGGCAGGCAGCACTGGCTTGGAGACCCAGAGGACGGAGTACTTGTCTGGCTTTGTTGCTGATTGTGTGTGTGAACTGGGACAAGTCATCATTTCCCCATTTGACTTCCTCACATCTAAAGTAAATTTGAATAGGAAAACTGTAAGGTTCTTCCTGGTTATATGACACAGTAACTAAGAAATGCCCCACCCCAAACTTGGGGAAAGTAGCTGGCCAGTGAAGAGCATGTTAAGGCCTCTCAGGGCTCTGGAGATCCTAACTTGGTTGGTGGACTGAGTCCCCCTTTCCTAGCTCAACACAGAGGTGCCAAGTAGTGTTTTGGGAGTCACCTAGGCTGTAAGTGAGGTTTCATTTATCTGAATGGCTACTTGCTGTCCAAACTGGCTCTTGGGGCCAGTCATGAGTTGTAACAATAGCTCCTATTTATTGGGCTTGTGCCTTCAGTATATCAGGACTAAGCACCTGATGTGTATGTCTTCACTCATTCCTATCAGCCCTCCAACCTACCTATAACATCCCCACTTTACAGAACATAACTGAGTCAGGGATGTTAAGAAACATGCAGAAAGTGACACAGCTATTGAACAGTATGCCTTGAGACTTGGCTCTGGGCTTAACATCAGACCATACCAGGCTTGCCTGAAATGCTGTCCCTGACTTACTTTCTAGACCATGTCTTACATGGTCCTCCTCTCTTGGCAGTCACACCACATTTTGACAAATGGAATCAGGGTGTCCCTCCCTCCAGCATACATCTTGACACCCCCAAGGTAGGCATCAATAAGCTCAGAGTTATCAGATGTAGGTCCTCCAGGAGCAGGACAACCAGGTCTGGGGTGGGGAAGGCCCTATGTGGGCCTATCTCAGGGCCTATAAAACTAGCATCTTCTCCTGAGGTAAGGCTGAGTAAAGGGTGTACCCTGCCCTCCTTCCCTGCCTTTAGCTGGGAACAGGGCTCCGCTCCCTAGTTCCAGCTTGGGAGAGCTGTTGGCTCTGAGGCTGGCTGCATTCACACAACATTAAGCATTTCCATTACCTAAAATAATTAGGCGGCAGGAGACGCACTGCTCCTGCTTGTTAGCTGTCCGGATGCTAAATTAATGGGGCTGCAGCCGGGGCGTGCACATCCATCTTCTCCAATTATATTCCCACCATTTCTAGCCCATCTGCACCCCTCAGCAGGCCCTCCTGCCCCACCGAGGGCATAGCTTCCTGGTGGACAGAGCAATGGAGAGGGGCTGGGTCGGGAAACATGAAATTGTATCTGTCCTCATACTGCACGATGACCTTGAACATACAGGCAAGGAATTTTAGTTTCTATTTCCTTTCCTGTACAGTGAATCTGAGGCTCCCTCCTAGAGTACATTTCTTATGTGTCTATGACTGGATCCCTCTTTTTTCACTTACACAACAGCCTCCACCTCTTTGGGCAGGCGTGGAGATGTGCAGCCCAGAATCTCCCCAGGAGACAAGGGTTTGCACTGTGGGACACTCACACGATACTCAGCTTTCAGTTCCCGGGCCACTGCCTGTAGGAATAATGAGGGAAGGAAAGCAAATGGATAGGGCAGGAGAGGCCCAGGATGGAGCTCATGACTTAGGGATGCAGCTGCACCCTGGGGACTGGCTGCTATCTGCCCACTCACCTGCAAGGTTGACACAAACTGAATGGTGCTGACCAGGGCAATGGCACTGGCTGGAGGAAAGGTGAGGCGGATAGAGTCCAGTAGGTGGGCAGTGTCTATTCGGATGTCCACAAAGACATACAGCACTCGGAAGTCTCTGGCCAAGGTGTCCATGGGAACTGGGAAGAGTTTAGGAGACCTTGTCTTGGAAAGCACAGGGCCTGGCTTGTGCATAGTCTGTGAGCAGCCTGGGACACACAGATCCCTTAGAAGCTCTTTTTCTGTCACTCAGTCAGGGGCCCAGCCTGCTCTACCACCAACAGCCTTTCAAACACCCGCATCTGGGACAGCAGCATGGTTTCCAAGGCAACCAAATCCAAAGGAAAGATCCACCTGTGAAGCAGGAAGGCCAAGGCCATCCCAGTAACCAGGAGGGCTCTCATGCCCGCAAGCAGGGCAAGAGTGTACTGTGATAGAGCTGGGTGTGTCATCCTGCCTCTGCCAGCTCTGCCAGGGTTCAGGTGTCCTGGTCTGTCTTACCCAGGCAGCTGTGTCCATAGTGCACCAGGAAGTCAGCACCCAGGGCCCTTGCAGTAAAGTCATCCACACAGCAAGCCCCATAGGTCACGTCACCCATCACCATTACTTCGGCCTCAGTGAACCTGTGAGGTTAGGGGAAGGGTGGGGGAGCAATGTGACAGTGACACTAGCAGTGAGGTTGGGGAGAGACCTAAACCAGTGGAGGTATCTCAGGGCCCAGCTCCTCTTCCAATCCTTTGGGTTGGCAGCTGCCATTTCTGCCAACAAAGAGTAGGAGGGCCACAGCTGCTGCCTCCCCCAGCCCTGGCAGCAGTTCCTGGAACTGCTGCTGTATGAGGATGGTCTCTGTAGCATCCTGATTCCTCTGCCTAGGCTCAAACTGCAAGAGGGACCCCCAAACCTGACCCCAGCCTCTGGGGGTCAGACTCAACATACCTGGAACAGTGAGCAGATGCACATATACAAAGACCCCCACTCCCATGGCCTGGTTTTGTGGTATATGTGGGCATGCTGGTGTGGATACACACAGCCTCCCTGTCATCAGGACCCCCACTATCACCCCACCTTTAGCTAGGGCCCTCTATGCCCAGGATGGGGATACCCATGTACAGTTCCCCCACAGCACATGGCACCACCCACATGCCTC